AATAAAAGAATAAATCACATGTTATCAAATATATGGGCAATCTTTTCAATGACTGCTCGTTCCCAGGCCTAGATGTGAGTATATATATATATATAATAATATATAAATATATATATATATATATATATATATATATATATATATATAAACAGAAAGACACGTGTTCTTTACATTTCTTTTTTATACAGACATATATCTTTATTTCTGACTAATAATTGTATTTTTTTAAGAAAGCATGATATCTTCAAGCCATTTCTTTTCAAAGTGTTTTTAGAACTATTTCTAGGATTGTTTGCACCCTGCATTTGCTTGTAGCTGTGTGAAAGGTGAACTCTGACCTCTTAAGGTATGTTTTTTTTTTTAAACACCATTTTAAGATTTACTTTTTTCAATTATTTTAAGAAAAACACTGAGTTAAAACATGTCCCATTTATGCATTTAATTCAATGAAGTTGACAAATTTCGTTAACCTTAAATATTTCGAGCGTTTCATGGCTCCAAAAACAGTGTCTCACAAGACCAAAACAAAAACCAGAAACACAGTGTCTCACAAGACCAAAACAAAAACCAGAAACACAATGTCTCACAAGACCAAAACAAAAACCAGAAACACAATGTCTCACAAGACCAAAACAAAAACCAGAAACACAATGTCTCACAAGACCAAAACAAAAACCAGAAACACAGTGTCTCACAAGACCAAAACAAAAACCAGAAACACAATGTCTCACAAGACCAAAACAAAAACCAGAAACACAATGTCTCACAAGACCAAAACAAAACCAGAAACATATTAGCTCATGTCTTCACGCGATCGGTATCAGAACATCAGATCTCCTTTCTTGGAAATACTGGTATCAGAACATCAGATCAGCTTTCTTGGAAATACTTTTATTAGAACATCAGATCTCCTTTCTTGGAAAGACTGGTATCAGAACATCAGATCTCCTTTCTTGGAAATACTTTTATTAGAACATCAGATCTCCTTTCTTGGAAAGGCTGGTATCAGAACATCAGATCTCCTTTCTTGGAAATACTTTTATTAGAACATCAGATCTCCTTTCTTGGAAATACTGGTATCAGAACATCAGATCTCCTTTCTTGGAAATAATTTTAATAGAACATCAGATCTTCTTTCTTGGAAATAGTGGTATCAGAACATCAGATCTGCTTTCTTGGAAATACTTTTATTAGAACATCAGATCTCCTTTCTTGAAAAGACTGGTATCAGAACATCAGATAGCCTATCTTTAAACAACAGTTTGACATCAGAACTCATATTTTCTCTCAACATTTTTGCAACATCAAGTCTCACTTTTTGAATTGATGGTTTTAAGAACATCAGATATCCCATTTGTATATAAAGTTGTCAAGATATCAAATCTATCTTAATAAAGCAGTTGTTGTAAGAATAGCATTTTTTTCTCTTTCTTTATAACACTTTACATTACTTTTAGAATAGATTGTTGACGGTCTATAAGACCTTTCTTAACTCGACTTTTTTTTATTAATACTTGCAACCTCCGGTGTCCTTCTCAAATAACTTATTTAAAAATACAAATCATGCGGCTAAAGAGCTGCCAAAAGACATGTATGAATGAGTGACTTTACAAGGATCGGTTAAAAGTGTTTGATTCACATGCTAGTAGACGTATAGATTATACAATAGAAACTAAGGTAAGATATTTCAAAAGAATAATCTTTTATTATATTTTATGTATATGTCATTGTAAAATACGATCCCTGCTCTTTTGTGGTCTGTGTAGCAGTTTATCTTTATTCCTCATTCTTTGCTCTTTTGATACCCCACATCAGATGATCACCGCCTTTAGTTCTCCAACCAGTATTCACAAAATTAAGTTTAAACATTCACGAAAACAACTCAACACGTCAACTCATACAACACGGCAACAACACAGGCCAGTCAGGTCACACAGATCATTCAATACACACCACAACAAAGATCAGCACTACTTAGTATCATGGTGTATTGATTTTTTAAGGTTAACCATCAGAAACTACTCCATGGGCTTCTGCGACGTCCTCACAAATATAACACAATTTAATGTGGAAGACGTATTGTATCCCATCGATTTGTGTGTGATGAGAACGAGTTCTCTCGCTTTGTTAAAATCGTTTTACTGCATGCAAACAATTCAGTCAACGATTGTTCTGTTATTGCTGTCTTCTCAAATCTGGTAGAATAGGAACAAGATTGGGACACTCCAAACTAATGGATTTTTAAATTTAACAAATAAAAATGAAAAGAAAAACATTATTTAAATTGCTTTATTGAGATATATATATATATATATATATATATATATATATATATATATATANATATATATATATATATATATATATTTGCGTCTAGGGGACCAAGCCAGTCGAAAGAAATTATTGATAAACAGCATTACCTTTGATATAGGTTAAAATATTTTACTGTTGGAATGTCCAATATACGTAATATGAGGGGAATGAAGCGTTCGTTCAGTTGTTCTTATCGTGGGGCCGATGTCCGTACAGTAGAATGGAAGGATATTCAGTGTTTAGCTTGTGTGTAGTGAAATTCCGCTAAATGCATTGTTAATGAAATACTTTGATGTGAGTAACCAATTAGATTTTGAGTAAAGTGTTTCTTACTCCGCCATGTTGTGACGACATGTAATAACTTATAGTTTGCAACCAACTATTAAGTGTTTGGTGTATTGGAAGCAGTTCATTAGTCCGTCTGACGTCGTGAGTTATAACATCCAAACAAGTAGTCTTCTGACATAAAGCTTAGATGAACCTCGACATTAAGATTCACATTGCGTAATTGTAAGCCCGTCCCTTAGTTGTGTGAAGTGTCCGTCCTTCAGGAACTCGACCGAAGCTGTGTGAAGTGCCCGTCTGAAGCTGTGTGAAGTACCCTTCTGAAGTTTTGTGAAGTGCCCGTCACAAGCTGTGTGAATTGCCCGTCTGAAATTGTGTGAAGTGCCCCTGCGAAGATGTGTGTCGCATCTTCTGTCAAAAGACGTGCCCAGAAAACCATTCGTTTAAGTATCATATCGCTCTGAAGTATCTTGATGGTCTGTCAGAATAGGATAATCTCTCTGTGAAATATCTCTGCTTACCAGAAGCTGTCATGTGACTTGGGCCGTCTGTCAGAATTTGTGTAGCATAATGTGACATAATTCAATAAATATAATGAAACAAAATATCTTCACTTTTGCATCCACTAGAGTTTTATTTGTTCCTTGAAGTTATTTGCCATATCAGCTACCAAAAGCTTTCTCTTTTTTTGTAATATTTCCACATTAGCCATCACGAAGCACTCCTATGTTGTAATATATCCATATTCGCTTATTTTAACCTTCGCCTATGTCGTAATATCTAAATATCAACTACCGACATCGTTCCTATGTTGTAAAATCTCCAAAATTAGCTAAAAATTACGTTCTACCATGTTGTAGTATATCCATATTAGCTGACAAGAACATTCTTTCATGCTGTAACATTTCCTTTCAGCTTGAAGAACTTTATCCCAGGTTGTTGCATCTCAATGTCAGCTACCAGGAACATCCTGCCATATTGTGATATCTCAATATCATGTACCACGAATTTGCAGACGTGTTGTAATATCCCCATATCAGCTTCTTATCGGTTGATTAACATTATAACAAAGCTCACTTTCTTACCTGATAAATCTGTTGTATGATGTTCATATTAAAGGAATTAAATTGCAATAATTATACATTTTATCTCCTGCTAATCCTATTCACAGGATTGTATTACGCAAAAGAGTCATATTTAATGTCTTGTATTACACAAGAAACTTATTTAATGCCTCGTATTAAACAATAAACATATTTCATGTCTTGTTGTACACAAGAAACTATTACATTCTTTATAGAGTTGTATATCCACTAAAACATAAATATTTAATCTCTCTAAAGAAAAGGTTAGAGATTAAATATTTTTGGTTATTTAAACATGTCTTTTATCAACAAGTATGGATTACTTAAGACACTTTGACCTTTGTCGTGTTTTACACGCAGCATTGACCTTGAGCAAAATGATGAATCTGTTTCTCTTGGTGTTGCTGTCCACTCTGACTTTGTCTCTCGGCAGGCACCCCTGCGTGGTAGAATGCGACAGCGCGAAAGTAATTTGTAAGAAGCAAATAAAAGGTATGCAAGAACCTGGATGTGTTGAAACTAAGAAAGTTCATTCTGGTAACAAGAATTTGATCAGCTACTAAATGTGAAAATATATACTGTATCGTATACACTTTTGATTTTTTAAGGGTACACAACAAAATATAATTAACTAATGTGTACATGACTGAACTGAGTTGATTATGGAGCCAATGTATGTTGAATACTAAATCAAAGCGTTCACCTTCTCAAGAATTTCAAATTATTGAGTTATTTTACCGTGAGGTATCTGTACATTTATTCAAAGGAATGTTACATAAATAGAAACAGTTGAGTTAATTAAAAATGATGCTTTCGGTTTCCTTTCTCCCAGGATGCAATCCTCCTATTTTTGCTAGCGTGATAGGTTGCCCGGATTGTTTGGAAGCTTGGCGGGAATGTCGTGACCAATGTTTGTACGTAAGGTACGTAAGAAAAAAAAAATATTTTAATGACTGACTTAAACGAAATTGCTTTTTACCTAATATATGTGTGTTCTTCATTAAACAATTGAAATAAGATTATTTAAAAACAATCTTAAGTTATTTAATAAATCAAAGCTTTCATCATGCCTGGGATAATGCAAAATTATTGAGTTATTGGAAAGTGGTGTGTATATACTTGTATTCAAAGTAACGTTACATAAAAAGTGACACTTTGATTTATTCTAAATGGTACTTTGTTTTTTTTTCGTCTAGGCAAAAAAAACACCTAATTTTAATATCATGAATAGTTTCCCGTATTGATTCGAAACCCAGCTGAGCCTCATTCAACGAAAAATAAATAAATAAATAAAATAACTGACCATAAACGAAAATTGATGTTTATATAATTTATTTCTGTTGTTTAAAAAAGACTCGAGACCAGCTTGTTTTAAAACATAGTTAACTAAATGCTTTCTACATGCAAGCAAAAGCTCAGATAACAATACTCACTCAAAATGGATTCATCGTATTTCTTAATCCTGATAATGTAAAATGCAGTGATGTACATTTCGTCAGGTCTCTGAGAATTAGAAAAGGTTTCTTAAACTCGTGGCCCGCGGGCCAGGGGCGGCCCGCAATACAATATGTTGCGGCCCAGTACATGCCAGTTTAGTGTTAGTGCGGATCGCGCCTTTTCCCCACTCTCATATCAATAACATGACGCTGGGACACGATTTCAGTCGAATGTCACAGACTAGTCTAATTCTGATTTTTATTTTGTTCCTGTAGATTTGGGCGTTGATTATAATGGTAAAATACGTTTGAAAATCGAGTAATTGTTTTTTATTTTATAGCATTGTATGAGACAAACTTAGCCAAAGTGCTATTTTTGAAAAGTTTAAAAAGTCAGTTCGTGGATAATGAACAGCCATAATTATGTAAATAGTAGTATTTTTTTATTCTTCTTTAAATTTGCAGCTGTTTATGTTAAAGAATTTTGACGATACTTGGCTTGTTAGCTGAATGTAGAGCTAGGAATGTGAAGAACAATTATCGATCTCTAAATAAACAGCTCAAAATTTTTTTTTTTTTTAAATATCTCTTACTTAAACTTATTGTGAATGGAAAACTAACCATAATAGATTATAACCTGATTATCTATTTAAAATTGTATCCACCAATAACCTTTGTTAAACATATACGAACACTCTCTAGCGGTAAAAATATACGTTTGCAATGATCGGGTTGTGTTGGAAAAAAATCTCTAACGGGCAAAAAATACGTGTGCATCAAAAACTGTGTAAGAAACAATCTTTAGTTTACAAAATATGCGTGTGCATCAAACGGCTGTGTTAGAAACAAAACATTGAAACACAACTATTTATTCAGAAGTCTAGAATGACACCAAACACACAAAAATTAATGACAGCACGACGTAAACATTTTGACGAAATGTTAGGTCATTATAAAATTTAAAATCACGTTTTAAATTGTAGTTGAGAAGGTAATTTTTATAGAAAAATGTGTAACAGAATGTAGGACATTGTTGTGCATACTGGTCAGAACACAGACAGCAGTACAAGTCAAGTTGATATATTCTCTTGTAGAAGGAAAGAGTGCTACTTGAAGCTGAATACAAGACAGCTGATGGGCATGTGTTGGTTTAAGGGATAGTTTGGTTTGTTGAAGGAGCTAGTGATGCCGTTGTCGGTGTTGTTGCCGTGTTAGGTGTAGAGTCATTCGCGGGATTTGTCGTTGTTGAGTCCGTTGTTGGTACAGCTGCCGATGCATTGGTCTGTGGGGTGCTGGTCTGAGATGTGCCCGTCTGTGAAGTGCTGGTCTGAGGTGTGCCCACCTGAGGAGTGCTGGTCTGGTCAGGGGCTGCACTCGTTGACTCTGTGTTGACTGATTGTTTCAACTGTCAAAAGAGGCAGGATACGAAAATGTAGCATCAATTTAAACTTAGCTAAAACAATTTTCTTAAAAATTATTTGACTCTCAACGACTTATTTTTTTCTGTCATACTAATTAAACTACTTGCCCGCCCCACAACACAGGTTTGATCATTGTCAATACTGTTCGATAATGAAGACTACTCGACGACCTTTTCGTGTTTTTTCATGAAAACAAAATTTCAGTTTTCCACAAAGCCAGTGATTTACATATCTTTAAAGACATTATAGCTGCACTACTAGTTAAAATACGATTCTCAGAGTACGACAGTCATGACACTTCCAGTTGATAACTCGATGAGATTGAAATTTAATATCTAATTCATGAGATGTGATGTGTGTGTTTTTTCTTTACAGAAGGTACAATTATTACAGCAACGGTTTTCTTGGAGATGCAAAAATAAATATGTTTTAAAACAAAAAAGCAAGAATGATCTTCACACTCAAGCACCTAATAAAATAAAATCTAAAATAACCAAAATCTAAAGATAGAATGTTATATATTTGTACTCACGAAGCAGAATTTCCCCTGAGCCGTACCAGCACAATATTTCGGGTACGTGGGGTCCTCACAACAACTGACAAAGTCACAGCTCTGGTACAGCCCCGCACATTCCTAGAAATGTTTGGATCACAATAAATGTTTGTGTGCATTTTAATATGTTTAAAAATGGCGAGATGAATGAATAAAACCCATTTTCGATCTCTTTTACATATTCATCTTTTGAAAGGCAGTCTTGAAGTAGTCTACTTAATGTGGAGTAAATATAGACGAATAGATAGCAAACACTTCTCTAATATTACAGTACAACAACAGCCCATACGATGACGTAGAACACTCATTTAAAAAAATAAATAAGCATAGAAACTTGAACTAAATGTTTCTTTGAATACTTAAAAGAAAACATCTATACACTCTGATTACGTTTGTAGAAAATTAAAAAGTGTCAGTACTTTTATTAATAGTTTAAACTGAATAGATGCTTGGTGTTTGGGTCGTTTATTTTGTGTATTTTTTTTTTTAAACAAGCGCTAATATGATTCGAATTTGTTATACTTTCAATAGTACATTTCTTTTTCTTTATTAGACAAATAATAAAGAAGAAAGCGAACTAAAGAAGATCGCACTGTCAACTAAATATAAACGTAATCGTAACTTAAAACTAGTTGAGCGAAAAAAAAAAAAGTTTAACCCTCAAATGAATCATTTATATCCAGGATGCCATTGAGCTATTCAAAAAGATCTAAGCTCAGTCAGAATATTTATCCGCATAAATAAGAGATACGATTACAATTTTCTTTCCAACAGTATAAACTGACATTTAAAATGCAAATTGATCTTGGATTCAAGTGTAAACATGGTAAAGATGTACATGTTGCAAATGTAGTGTATCCAGATGCGCAAATTATTTGACGGCCAAAAAGGACACAAATGGTGATCAGTAGTTTTACCTTAGAGGAACTTGGGCTTGTGGTCTTCTGTGAGTTGACATACGCCAGGTACTCGGAGTAAGGCTGGGGGTTATACATCAAAAGATATTGCCACGTTCCCCATGTATCATTCATATATGTGAGCTAATGCAATGTCTAAGTTTAATTTTAAGTCTTACAAAAAGTGGGTATAGGGGGGGAATCTAAGAGATTCACGAGTTTCAGGTTTAATGACAATTCTAGTTTTAAAATAACAAAAACCCATTAACTGTTATTAGCCTCAAAATAGGAAAGGAGACTTTCAATGTTTGACCCTCAATTCTAGACATTTCATTGGCCAAACCTTCTCTAGGCCAAACCACCCCTCTCGTCATCTATCCACATCTCCACTCTGAACAAAATATCATCCATTTCCCCCACATCTCCACTCTCAACCATATATCAACCATTTCCTCCACATCGTCAACTTACTTTATTTATATTTAAAACATCTTACTTTCGCAGCATACTTCAAATGTACCTATTTTTCAACAACATCCTTGAACTCTAAACTTTCAATGCTCATCCATTGCAAAGCCTAACAAAATCTTCTATCCTTAAAATCTATACCCACCTCTTGCACCATTCTATCACTCTCAGTTCCCTCTCACCCCAACCATCTCAATTCATGTTTTAAAAGCTCCTAAAATATGTTTTTACTATATGTTTATTTTATCCATTTTCTGTAATACCTACAATAAAAAAATAGAACTGAAATAAAGACAAAAAAAACAAAACAAAACATAATAAACAAATTATAAACATCCGATAGAATATGATTAACTAATGAACACTTAAACATGAAGTCAAAATATGATTATAAAAAAATATACCATTGAAACATGTAAATGTTCAAGAAAAGTGAAAATAAATTATTACAATATCCACATCAAATCATATGTAGCCTGACTTTCATGTGTACAACGAATGCACCAAAGGCTGATGTGCTATTCACACTTAAGCTCGCGTACACAAACAACGTGTTATATTTAGCGGCAAGAATTACGTGACAACAGCTGGGGTACTATTCACACGTCAGCTCACGTACACAAGCAACGCGTTATACTTAGAGACACGACTTACGTAGCAATAGCTGGGGTACTATTCACACGTCAGCTCACGTACACAAACAATGTATTATATTTAGCGGCATAAGATACGTGACAATAGCTGGGGTACTATTCACACGTCAGCTCACGTACACAAACAACGTATTATATTAAGCGGCATGAGATACGTGACAATAGCTGGGGTACTATTCACACGCCAGCTTACGTACACAAGCAACGCGTTATATTTAGAGACACGACTTACGTAGCAATAGCTGGGGTACTATTCACACGTCAGCTCACGTACACAAGCAACGCGTTATATTTAGAGACACGACTTACGTAGCAATAGCTCGTGTAGCCTCGGGATGGTACACACACAAGGGGATCCAGTCCGCCGCCACAACATGGGCGCCAGAAGTCACAGATGAAATATTTGCTGCCACAGTAGCCGTACTGAAACATTTAACGATGAACAAAACATCCACGTGTATCTAATGACAAAGCTAGGAAACAAGTACACATTTTTATTACCAACTTTACTAAAAATGGCTGCCCGCAGCCTATAAAAAGCTAGAGGCGTAAAGAAACCAATTTACAAGTGAACCAATCCTTCACTTTTGAAAACTAAATTATGCGGTAAGCCATTTTTCAAACGGATATTCTGATCTGAAATCCGAACACTTGTTTTGATAAGTTCGAAAAACTTTTTCACATTAATTAGTCCAAGGTAGAGTTTAACAAGCTGATCATGGTTTCCGTGAGTTATAAAAATTATCAATGTGCTTGACCTTAATTGGTGTCAGATGTGCTAGTGCTGAAAAAATCTTATTCCATTGAAAACTTCAAATTTCCCATATGTGTATATACGTCATTTATCACATACCTTTGAGTTAACCGTTGTCCGTATAACGTCATACTAAAGACATACCTGTGCGTTGACCGTTGTCCCAATGGCCAACACTAGTAACGTGCATAACGTCCCAAGCATGATGATTCTATACGTAAAATTTGTTAATCAGAAGCCTCTGTCATGTAAATACAAAGGAATAATTACTCAAGAGGTTATGAAAATAAAGGGACACTTATAGTAGGATGAATTGCTTTTTCTTTTTAAGCTTCTTGTAGACACAATTCAACGGAATTTCACATTGCATATACAATTAAAAATGTGGTCTGTTCAATACTGAATGCCATTTCAAATACATTTTAAAATGTAGTCTAAATAGCACTTACCAATCTAATGTACGGAAAAAAAGGAATTTGGAAATATCTTTGGCTGCACCGATATAAGTAAAGATTCCGGTTGGCAATAACTACAGAAACAACTCTAGGTACGTATGTGTTGACTACAGGACACCATATTTTTAACTGCCACTGACTGTTTCAGCTTTATGTCCTTACGCTTTATTCCTATTCACAATTATTCAAATGTAGTTAACTATCCATGACTACCATCTAAGTTTACCTTAATGCGTCATGACTGAGAGCTAATTTGCCTCTGTGGTACGGGTCATACAATACGAGCAGTGAAATGTAATGATTGGTAATTGTCTCCAGACAATACATTTTGACTACCCTTTCAATGATCTCTGCGTCATAGAAGGAATGCTGGATCACAGGTTGGGAAAAACTCGTAAATTATCTTTTATTACGCAGTCAGTGTCTACTCACGGTCTGTTCAAGGTCTGCTCAAGGTCTGTTTACGGTCTGCTCCATCTGCCTGACTAAATGAATTCTGTAGTATTGCAAAAACGCTTTTTTTTCCATTTAGCTACCCTTTCGACTATCACCCCTTCATGTAAAAAATGCTTGATCACAGGTTGGGAACTCTTCTTTATGTAGCATTATAATTATTGCAGTGTGGACCCACATCTGCTCACGCTCTGCTCACAGAATGCTCATGGTCTACTCACGGTCTACTCACAGTCTACTCACGGTCTACTCACGGTCTACTCACGGTCTACTCACGATCTACTCACGATCTATTCACTTCTACTCACGGTCTAGTCACGTCTACTCACGTCTACTTACGATGTACTCACGTCTACTCACTGTCTTCTCATGGTCTGGTCACGGTCTACTCACGGTCTACTCATGGTCTACCCACGACCTACTCACGGTCTGCTCACGATCTGCTCACGATCTACTCACGATCTGCTCACGGTCTACTCATGGTCTACTCACGGTCTACTCATGGTCTACTCACGGTCTACTCACAGTCTACTCACGGTCTACTTACGGTCTACTTACGGTCTACTCACGGTCTACCCACGGTCTACTCACGATCTACTCACGATCTGTTCATGATCTACTCAAGGTCTGCTCACGGTCTACTCACGGTCTACTCACGGTCTACTCATGGTCTACTCACGGTCTACTCACGGTCCACTCACGGTCTACTCACGGTCTACTTACGGTCTACTCACGGTCTACTTACGGTCTACTCACTGTCTACTCACGGTCTACTTAGGTCTACTCACGACCTACTCACGGTGTACTCAAGTTCCGCTCTCGGTCCGCTCACGGTCAGCTCATGGTCCGCCCAAGGTCCGCCCAAGTTCCGCCCAAGTTCCTAATAATTTGTTTTTTATTTTTAATTTTTTAAACTTTTATTCCCTCAATTTGCAATGGAAATTGCTGATAAAATTTGTGTAAATCATAATGCAGCTAACCGAAACATTTTTTTTTAATCATAAGTCACAAGCAGAGCATTACGCGTGAGAGCATCCTAATGAGCTGAAAGCTTTGAGCCTTAAAATTATTTTCTAGTTTGTAACTGTTAATCATTAATATGTTGTATGCACTATACGGAGAGTACTTGATGAACGTCATTCTTTATGTCTTTGTTCATGCGTTTAGATGTGTTTTGTGAAAACTAGTTTTTTACGTGTAAATACGTTCATAACGCAAGCGCACATAAGTATTCGATCATTCATCAAAACAAAGCATTTAAGTACAAAGACGATCCTGTGGAAATGGAGTCGTAAACCGTGTGTTAACACTTGACCTTTGTTTAAATAATGTTTGTTTTACTTCTTTAAACTTATTCAAGATTTTATTTTATTGATACTAAGTTGCAATCCTTTTAAAATGTCAGTACTGTGTATATAATCAATTACATTAAATATATGTATATAAATGTTGAAAACAAATTGAAGGGCTGCAATGATTGGCCATCCTAACGAAGAACATTAAGTTAAATATTAAATCTGGGACTAAATTTTTGGAACAAATCTTGACAATTAACAAACGATTACGATTATAAAAACAAAAATACTCGATTACACCTATCAAAAAATACTTGATTACAACTATCTAATAATAAATAACTATAACAAAATACTCGATTAAAACTATCAAATAACTCTCGATGTCAAATATCATATAAAACTCGATTACAATTACCAAATTTTACAGGAATACAACTATCTAGAATTCCTCGATTGTAACATAAAAAATCGATTAAAGCTATCAAATAATGCTCGATAACAACTATTTAATAATGGTCGTTTACAACTATCATATTATGCTCGATAGCATCTCTAGTATAATACTAGATTACAACTTTCATAACAGAAACAATTGATGTAAGCATTGAAAATGCATATTTATTTTAATTTAATTCCAGTAATCTCATCAGAACACAGTAATCTCACTGTTTTTCGTGGGGGGCGGGGAGCTGATGAGGTCTAGGCATCACCAGATGACTCCATACGTAAATTTGCAAATCCACCGATAATTAAAATAACGTTCTTTGTTTTGGTTCGTCCTATTTTCAGGTTTTCTTATACATTATTTGGCTTATTTCTTTCACTTTAGTCCTTTTCATAGCCTATTGAAGTACATTTTATAATTTTTTTCTTTAAACTACTTTACTTTAAGGCCTAATTGTCCTATGGCATGTTCACTCGTGGTTTTAGGCGTTGGTGTGAGGCAGGGTGCGAAGTGGTGGTGGCCTGTGTTGTGATGAGATAATAACAATTTATGCATACATTAGTTCGCTTGGAACAGATGGTCTGCAGTTAGACGCAACAGAGTAAAAGTGACTAGACCACAGGTTACAAAATTGTTTTGAATCGAGACCACATATTTTTAAAGGAGCCAAGTAACACTGAAAACCTTTTTCATTTTATTTAAAAATTTCAGTGAACATAAATCGGAATGCATAAAGTATTGTGCAAATTTTGAAACTGTAATAAGTAAGGTATAAATGAAAAAAAAGTTGTTTCGTATGCTTTTAAGAATATATTTAAGAAGAAAAATCGTCCATGTCGAATATAAGTCAACCAACAAGCCAAGCTCAAATGTAGCACATAATAAAAGCAAACGATAAAAGTTGGTGCTCCAAAGATCCACTTGTGCACTGTTAGTGATCTTGGCTTCTACTCTGACAGTCATCTTACTATAATACCTCATATCAGTTCTGTGGTCAAGGATTGTTTTTGTCGTCTTCGAACTTTTGGTCAGCGTAGAAATCAACTTAGAAGAGAACAGCCAAAGCCATACCACTCTAAGCCAATCAAGATTAAATTACTACAACTGTTATTTTTTGGGGTTTATCTTCAAACCAAATTCAGAGACTCATGAAGGTACAAAAATCCTTCAGCACGCATTTATCGCGTTTAGAGAAATCTAAAATCTGACCACATCAATCAAGTTCTTAAAGATCTCCACTTGTTTCCAGTGAGTGAGTGCACTGACCACAGAATTGTGTCTCTTGCGTAAAGCTGTATAGATGGCTCAGCACCTGAATATCTAAAAGAAGTGATGTCTAAACATGTCTGCATACAAAACCTTCGCTCTTCAACACAGTCCTTACTGAGAGTTACAAGGGGAGGAGGACACAGAAGGACGTTTTACGAAGTTCGCTCTTTTAAAACTCGTGTGACTCAATTAGGGACCAATTTGCCTATGTCTTGTAGAGAAATGGAAAAGGACACCAAGTGATTTAAGAAATATTTGAAGAATTTTTGTTTAAAAAGAGTAAATGACACTGGAGCTTTGTAAGCATGCTAAAATAGACTAAATACAAGCGCTATAACTATATTAAATTCAATACGATTAAGTCAACAATAAATTTCAGGTAACCCCATTTATCTTCGCGACCCATGGTTTAGAGAAAAAGTATAGGCAAGCAAGTTCTATTTTTAACATTGGATCCCATTCAGCTTTGCGACCCATGGTGTAGAGACAAAGTATGGACAAACAAGTTGTTTAACATTAGATCCAATTTAGCTTTGCGACCCATGCCTGAGAGACAAAATATTGACAATCAAGTTCTCTATTGACTATTGAATGAATCATTCGACTATCCCAAATGTTCAACATAACAACCTCGACACATGTAATTCGTGTTTATTTATATAAGTATTAAAATGACGCTGTTGACATATTATATATATATATATATTTTATTATTCAATTCAAAATTTGTCCTCTACAATGTAATATTGACATTAATAAAAGTTTGAAATGTTCTATAATTAATTTAGATTATATGTCGTAAGTTCCCCCCTTCTAAGGATACTTCACAAAACACGCATTCAGGTAACCAACTTTATAAGAATCCCAAATAGTGTTATCCCATCTACGCTACAGCCCCTAAATTATACTAATATTCTAATGACCCACTCACTTTTTCAGTGCTCAACTATTTCACTAATATAAAAGAATGTATTAATCACCAAATCCAGTTTATTTATTTTTAAGTATCTCGTTTAGCACAATTACCAGGAATAATAGTTATTGAAATGAGTGCCATCTGGTAGCGTTAGTTACTCTGTTACATAGAGGGGTATGGATGAGTTTCTTCTTTTTTGTGTGAAAAATAACACCATAAACATTGTTATGTCAAGTTTGAAAGTAAAAAGGGGTAGAAGACAACTTATCAGATAATTGCTTCTAAACATGGGACTGATTAATTCGTCTGTTAATTACAAACATAACAATAAGGAAAATAATAAAGTTTATTTGAAAATCAAGATTCATCCACAAAGGCTCGAAGCGCGGCACATAGTCTAGTATATTAAAAGAGAAATGAAACAATCTATAATATACCACATTGAAATACAAAATGCAACATTGCAAAAACTATATATACGAGATTACCCATTCTAAGTCTTTTATACCTAACAACCATAAACTACACAGGCCAATACACATCAACAAGATAATAGCCAGATAGACAACATCATCACAGCAGGTGTTTTCAAATTAGTTTTGAAAGACTCCAGTGACTGGCTGTTTCTAAGAGCGACAGGAAGGGTGTTCCAAATTGTTGGGCAAGCAAATGCGAAAGTACACACTTCGTAAGTCTCAAGGCGAACACCTGGTTTCGAGAGTTTGACACTATCAGATGAGCGGAGTTGTCAAAGGGTACATAAGGCGTCAGCAGCTCTTTGAGATATGACGGCG